GCCCGGATTTGTGGAAAAACAATTCATGGCTTTTGCACCACGATAATGCACCTGCTCACACTTCGTTGCTTGTTCGTGAATTCTTGGCCAAAAACAATACTGTAACGATGCCCCAGCCTCCATATTCGCCAGACATGGCTCCGTGTGACTTTTTCCTATTTCCAAAAATAAAGAGAACCTTAAAGGGCCGTCGTTTTACAAGCATAGATGACATTAAAAGCGCATCGCTGAAAGAGCTAAAGGCTATCCCAAAAATCGAGTTTGAGAAGTGTTTCGATGATTGGAAGAAGCGCTGGCGTAAGTGCATAATATCGAATGGGGACTATTTTGAAGGCGACAACATTAATGTAGACGAATGAATAAATATTTTTTCCAAAATACGGAAATTCCCGTCATTTTTTGAACAAACCTCGTATACACAGCCTCTGTCAGTCCAGGCTAGGTACAGCAGATTATGCGCTTTATATATGTATATATATATTTCCTAGTAGTATTAGCTACCACGGCAGTCTTGAATGGCATCATAGTTGAACTCTTCTTTATAACCACTTTGCACAGACCACACAGAAAATTCAGCCTGTATTGTTAAAGAGGCGTGTTTACTGATCTGTTGCCTAGCAATGGACATCCTATTGTTGTGCACGTTTGCTTCTGCAGGAATGTGTTTGCTGAGTCGTTGCCTAGCAGTGGGTATACATGTCACAATATACAGTGTGTTTGTCCTTATGCATGAAAAGGCCTGTCTCTGTATAATGATAAACATTCCATTTTCCATAGAAACATCTATAATTTTATGCCGATTCAACGCTACCCTTGCCTGCTCACATTCTTTTACTCCCCAGTAAATCTAATTTATACTAATTCTGCAATTACAGTTTCCAATGAAACTGATTCCTGATGTTCTGAGTTCAGAATCTTATGACCATTTTCCACTGTTTAGGTTTTTCCAGAGAATTCTGCCCTAATCTAGGGACCTGAGTAACATTTTATAATGTGCTAGTTTTTATGGTGAAGGGATTGTTGTTAGCCTATGCACTCAGTGCCTAAGCTGGAGAGAGACTGACTCTTATTGTCTGTGACTGCTTATTCAATTTATTTATGGCTGTCTTCCATATCTGGAGACCATCTCTGACAGCCTCAATGGGGATCTGCTATGATGTGTCGGTGACAAGAGATGTATATAATGTGTACTAAGTGCTGAAGCTAATGAGACTCATTTTTCACAGATGGAATTTTGTGCCAACAAAAGAAGAGTTGGATTTTGTGTGGCAGAGGTTTGATGGCAACTTTCTTGTTCCTCAGAACTTTACTCAGACTGTGGTTGCGTTTGATTCAAGCAGCCAAAATGATTCTTCAAACAACAGTAGAAACTCTTGTAGGAAACAGCCTCCAGCTCAAATAAACTCACAGACAACAGCGTTTTGTGACAGACTTGGCATCGATGATCCAATGGCATTACTGTTAAATTCTTCAAAAGAATCATCCTTCGATTCAGATGAGGTTAGAAATATTTTATTTTTACCATACATATTATTATTTTCCCTCCTCTTTCTCGTCCTGCTTTCTGCCACCATGATCTGTATGCTCTTTGCACTCTGTGTATGATTGTGTTATAGTGCCTCAAACAGAAATTTCCATTTCCCAGATTTATTTATGTATAACCAGGGCCCAGATTTTGATTACCTAAAAATATTTTTAAAAGACCGAAAAATCCAGAAAAACAACCTAAAAGTTAAAAAAGACAAAAATTTATCATGTCATGGAAAATCTACTAATTGTTTTAAAATGTATATTTAATCTTTATTAACACTGTAAACTCATCGTTACTCTTTTAAGTTCGTTCTCGTTTTTATGATGAAAATTAAGCAATGGAGGATTGAATTTGAAAATGAATGTTTTAATACGATTTTTTCTACTGTTTGAATGCTTAATAAATATACATATATGGTATATATTTCAGTATTTAAGTGTAACCTCATTCAGAGTTGCAATAGTTGAAAGATAACATGCAGAGATTCTCGAAAGTGAGTGTTTTATTATATGTAATGTCAGCACTTTCCACAGAACAAACAGAAAGGAGGGGAAATTATTACAACTTATTATTGCATACTGTGGTAGCAGGAACTTGGGGTGCAACTGCAGGCTGCCTTTGTAGAGGCGTGAGAAAGAGAAAGAACACTTTACTTGCATATTATTCACGTTTCTGAAAACATATGAAGAAAAATTCCCTAAAATGGCTGAAGTGACAAAAAATACCCTTAAAAGTCCAAAAAATTCTCCCAAAACCGAAAAAATGACCTGTAATAGTTACATTTCTGTAACCAACAGCTCATCTCCAGGATTTATATATTTACGGGCATCACATAGGATACAAGGAAAAAAAGGCATCAAAATCCGGGCCCTGTATATAACGAATTTGTTAGACTTTGTTTTAAGTCATTTGATCATACATAGTGGAATCTAGATTTAAGGTTAAAGGGAGGGAGGGAAGAATGCAGATTTGTTGACAGATTAGTTCATGCTAATGCTGCCAACCATTCTGATTTTTATAATTTACTGGGTAGTGCACATGCTGTTGTACAAAGCAAAAAGCAGTTACCCGAAAATTCTCATTTTGAGACTGAAAAATCATGTTTGAATCAAGATTTGTTCTTGATTGGATCTCGGAAACGTGAGACTCCACGTGCATACTGTGTACAGTAATTTTATGTAAACTTATGCCATATATGCAATGTTGTTTTATTTAGAACCAGAAGTTCTGCACTACTTTGCCAGGTTACTTGACTCCAGAGCGTCCTGGAGAAGTTACACAAGTATCTCTGGATGACACTTCATACCATGATTCAGTGGATGACAGCATGAAGCAGGTACTAACAGCAGAGACTTATAACAAGTCAGTCTCAATGAACTGTTCCATCTCATTAAGTCCGATGCCTAAGCATTTGAGGCTTGCTCTTCCGAGTCCACAGAACAGTGACATGGATGAACCTATGAAAGATGATGCTAGCAGTTCTCCTGTTTTGTTACGGTTGTCACATTCTCTTCCATCTCCAAGAGATAGTGATATGGATGAACCGGTTTGTAGCGACACTGGGAACTCACATTCTAGCTCTCCAGAAGTCACTTCAGGTGCATCCCTCACAGGTACTAAATTTTCATGGAATATTTATACTGTTAAAAGAATATTAATGCAACCGCTGTTTAATGTTCCTTGATTCAAGGTTTTCACTCATTTACTGTTCAGTTTCAGTGAGTACAAGTCAGTCACCTCAATGTTAAATTACCTCCATTTAAGATTTTCCTCAGTTCAGTGTTCACATCCACTGGGAGTTTCACTGTATAATGAAAATTGGTAGAAATGTATAACAGACCTTGTAAATTATAGTTCTTTGAATTCATGTTCAGTTTTGTTCAAGTGAGGGTGTTCCCTCCCCCCAGTTGTGTACTTTACATGATGCAGTCTGTACACAGGTCCATCTGTGACACATTCTGCTTTCTAGCACACCCAAATCAGTATCCCATTATGCTCTATGGTGAACAAATTTTCAAGAATTGAGAGGTGAGATCTGTAAAACATTTAAAATGATTTCAAGGCAGATTTCATCTTTGAACTCACAACCCATTTGGCAATATGTGCATAGTCAGAAGTGTTTCAAAGTAGGTGCTGTAATTAGAAACTGAGGAATTTAAACAGGTGGTCTAGTGGTCAACGTTCTTGGCTACAGATCCAGAGGTCCAGGTTTGATTCCCGGCACTACCAGATTTTTTCGGAGAAGTAGTGGGTCTGGAACGTGGTCCACTCAGCCTCATGATGATAATTGAGGAGCTATTTCAAGGAAATAGCAGTTCCTCTAACAGAAATGAGTACCAGGAATTAAATAAATAATTTTCCTGGGGAGTAAAGTGCGGCCAGCGCGTAAGGCTGACAACCTTACCGCCATCTTTGAGTCGATTGTCTAGAAAATGTGGGACCCTCAACGTCTCACAGCCCTATGGACCTTCATGGCCTGTTACAGGGATAGCTTTACTTTTTTTACTATGTTTAACTGACTTAGAATTGGTTTAGGTGACGGGCTCTTGTGAACACTACAGTGAGCCATGGGGTTTCATAATGTAGGGAATTCCTGTTATCATCATGATGTAGTGTTGTACAGATGTCCCGTGAATACTTCAGGAGACGACTCCTTAGATTATTCAGAGTGAAAGAAAGTCTTTTACCGCCGTAGGTCCTGTTCATGGTGGTTTTGAAGCTTTGGTAGTTCGAAGTGTAGCTTGACTTGAAGGCATTTGTTATTGGGAAGAGGATAAAAATAACACTGCACACTTTACATAGCTTGAAAATAAGATATACCCTTCAAAAAATCAAACAGCTATCACTCTTGTCTTGTGGCATCAGAAATTCACTGAAGCAGTTCATCTTGCATTCATCTGCCATTGTTTCATGTGACCTCACATATGGTAAGCCGAGGTTCAGCGAATGCAGGGGACAGTTAAAAGTATGAGCCACTTTGTCATCAAACTTGTGATATTAATAAATATTTGTCAATCCAGTATACTTCAAATGGCAACACTAGCATTACCATTGCAAAAAAAAAAAAAAAAAACATGTACACAAAATGCATATTCTTTATTGGAGAATATAAACATGTTCAGTTCTGTCGCAACACAGTGTGACCTGACTGTACTCTTTGATATCTTACATGCTAATGGATGTACTGGCTTGCGTAAACATGCCCATGCCTGCTAAGGGCATGCACTACATTTCAGATGCTCCTAGCTCTGAAACCACTGAGAGCAACATCCATGCTGACAAACATTATTCACTTAGAATGACCTCAGGAATTACCTCCTGAAATTATGGTGTAGTCACTGGACACTGTGTATATTGTGAAGAAAGCAGTCTTCTGGGATTTGGCACCATGTATATGTGGTGTTAACCGACGTTTCGGAGGAACGTATCACCTCCATCTTCAGGGTAGAAGGAAAAATATAAGAAATCCGCAAGCGAAGAGAGCATGAGAATCGGTAAAAGCAGACACAGTCTCACGGTCTCTTCGCTTGCGGATTTCTTATATTTTTCCTTCTACCCTGAAGATGGAGGCGATACGTTCCTCTGAAACGTCGGTTAACACCACATATACACGGTGCCAAATCCCAGAAGACTGCTTTCTTCCCAGTCACCGCCGTGAAAGCCTCAAATCTTACATACCGTGTATATTGATGGAGAAGTCTCCTAATTTTCATTGTGTTGGTTATAAAGGAATGGTAAACCAGTTTTTTTAAATATGACTAACAGCTTAGATTTCAGAGTAAATATTTAAGACAAAATGTGTAAAGATTAATTTAATATCTTCAAACTGTAAACAGTTTTTATCTTTGTTAGGTTCTGAGGAAGTTGCTGAAATATGTAGTTCATCTCCTGACTTGCACCCTGCACTGAAAAGGTTCAAACGTCGCAACCAAGCACTATACTCTAGTGCAGATGCTGACAGTTGATATTAACATGCTCTAACAGAACTGTACAGTCACTGTTGAAAGTAATCAAACATAAATATGTTATGAAAGGATTTTCATAATAGAATGATGTATTCTTTATTTTAGTCTTGACAAAATGTTTTTATGTAATGGACATACTTTCAGAGTATTAATGTAACCTGTGAGTATTTAATACAACCTAGTGTAGTTATTGAGTTGTTTTCAATTTAATTTTATTTTTGTATGAAAAAAGCATGTAAATTCTGTGAAATATTATGATATACAAACATTTTAATTATATGTAAAGAAAATAAAATACCTTAGTGAAGGACACTTCATTGTTTCCTTTCAAGTTACTGAATATCAGAACAGGGTATAAGAGTGTAGACTAGATTCAGATAGGTCCAGTGGTGGGCTCTTGTAAACATGGTTGTGAACATTCAGGTTCCATAAAAGGTGAGAAATTGCTTAACAGCTGAAAATGTAATAAACTCCTCAGGAAAGATATGTTTTATGGGCTACTTTGAAATGTCATTTTCCTTCAATACAGAGATGTTTCATTAGATTCACTGTCTAATCACTCTGAGAGTTCTGTATACATATGCAGCCAGTTCACTTCAGATATGGAGAAGTATTTTCTGAAAAATAAAAAGGTTCACTTTAAATGAAAGAATAAGTCATGAAATGTTACCTCCTTGATTTATGAAGTTTTTTATTTGATGAATACTAACTCTTATATTTTTGAAAATGTATTTTCTCCTTCAAGTGATCTGAAAGCCCTGACCTCTGTATACACATAGTTTTTGAATATTTTATTAAGTTCCAATACAGAATTCAAGTTCTATATAATTACAGTAAAGATAAGGCAAAATTGTCCCTGTGCTTAACTAATTAAGTACTATGCCCTGAAGACATATGGGCAAGTGGATGTATAGATCCACCTTTTCTTAACCTTGGCACTAGTTGGAGGTGAGTAATCAGTTTCATGCTGTGGCTGCTTTACTCCCGGGGAAAGTGCCCCCAGTACTTATTGAATAGGAGGCTGGGTGGGCCCCAGAACCAGTCTGGAAGACCTGGAGAAGAGAAAATTCTTGCCCCTAATGGGACTCAAATGCTGACCCCTCAGTCCAGCCCATAGCCAGTTGCTATACCAACTGAGCTATCCCAGCTAAACTTTAGAATTTCACAGGACATGAGCCACCTTTCCTGCATGGTTTGAAAATATTTTTTTTTTATCACAGACTCCAGGAATTAACTTTCCTCAGAATTTGACAAGTCTGTACAATAATATGTTAACATTTTAAATTTCCTGTAGAATTGTTGTTCAGGGGTACGAAAGAATAATTTTGAGTTTGGATTTTACTTGAAGTCCCATATTAATTAAATTACAATCTTTTAACTTTTCAGTGGCTTCAGAATTGCTTAGTAGGATCCCTTCTCCCTTATACCATCTGATGATTGAAATGGATCCACTTTCCCAGACATTCTTTATATATATATATATATATCAGATGTACCTCAGATAATGGGCAATGTCCAATATTACACTCATATCATCAATCAATCACTGTCACAAACCTTCAAAGAATCATCAGGGATGCTCTTGAAACAGGTACAGAAGCCATGCATGGCAATAATGATCATTCTGTAGTCAGTGAGACCAGCAATGGAAGGAGCATACTTTCCAAAATGCCTCCCATGTGAGATTTGAAGTTCTCATGGCAGTGACTGTGACGATGAGACAGCAGGTTCCTCCAAAACATTGGTTAATATCTAGAAGACTACATGACACTGCATTCCAAGAGACTTCCATCATCACATTCACCATCAAGAAATTCAAATCTCACATTACTGTTACTGCTGCAGTCCCATTTTAATAGGAAACAGGGTTGGAATAATTAATCTTTTGGGAATAAACATTAAATTCTGTGATAATTCTTTAATGACTTCTTTATTTGCATTTCCTACGGTAATTACATGACAAGAATTTAATTCTGACACCCAGATAAGTCATCACAGACAGTGGAACCAGTATCACCATGGTCTAATACGACTCTGACATGCACACGTAAGTATCCAGTTAGCTTTAGCTGGTGCCTTCATGGCCATCTGCTTGTGTCGCGGGTGTGTCTCACATATCACGTACATCCTACCACGTCGCATGACAAAGTAACAATCTTTGCACCTCCGTTTCAGCACTTTTTTCACTTTAAAACCGCAAGATGATGAAAGAATGGGAACTTTTGGAGTTAACAGCGGCAAGCTCTCATTCTTCAGCCCTGTGCTGTTTGTGTTTATCAAACTAAAAGATTTTATAATGCCAAAATAGCTTCTTTGTTCATTGTGCCTAATAGGTAACATATTCTGTATGAGTTTTAGAGCTCCTGTCTTCCACAGAGTAGACCGCAATGAAGTAAAGATGTTCATTTTGAACTCCTGGAAACCATGAAAAACAAATGGGTAAGGAACCTTGTCAAAATTATTAGTATGTGAATTTTACCGATTTTCCTGTAATGCCAAAGAAAAGGTATTTATCTTCACCACATCCACCAAGCAGATTGGTTCAAGTGGTAACACTTCTGACTTGTATGTGAGAGGTACCCAGTTTCAACCTCTGCTGGGACATCAACAATGCTGACTGCAGTTTTTCATGAGTTTACTCAGTCCCTCAGCTAAATCCCAATATAACACCTTAAATCAGGCCACAAGTGCCTTCTTTCTTACCCTTTCCAATTTATCCAATCATTTATACTATACACAGTCTCAAGTTATCCAAAGAATTGTTAAATCAACTACAAATTTTAAATCTTATTGTCAAGAACAACTTGTTTGTACATTGTGACTATACAAGCATATTTAGACTGCTCATCATGGGATGGCATACAATTGGATTCATCACATTTTAACTTACAAAAGATGATACTCCAGTATGCTTGACATCTGACTTTACAGCTGGTTCATGATACTCATCTGTACATAACAATTGCAAAATTAGGAGAGATACTTTCAGTCAGAAAGAAAACAGACCTAAATATTAGTACTGATAAACAGACATTACACAGAACGGTTAATTTTAATTAGGCTTAAGGTTTTTAACATTTATACAAAAATTCAAAGAAAATTAAATTGTCTTTAATAGTGCATTCAAAAATTATACATATAAGATAAAAATTTCTGAAGACAGCTCAGACATTGTACACTTAGAGACTAAAGTGGTTCAGTGGAACCAGAATGCAGTACCTATACACGTATATTATTCAAGGAAGAAAAAGGAAATATTTAAAGACAGTATCTGAGATGGCAAAAGCAAGAACAAATAAAACACAAAACTGATATAACAGCCAAACCATTTAAGTATAACTTAATACCTCTGGTAAAGTGTAACAAAGGTGATCATGGAGAAAGAAAATGATTTAATAAATTTTAAGATATTCCAGGATTTACCTGGATAAGTTGAAGAAAACAATATGGAATTTCAGTTAAGATTACATCCTATGAGGATTAGATACCAAGACTCAAACGTGAAATACAGGTGATAAATACAAAATTAGAATTTTCATATTTTTATCAGCCCAGACAGGAAGATCAAATTTTAACACTGCCCAGTGGCTACATGACAGTGCAAACTGGGGCCTACGATTTCAAAGACGAGCTCCTCTGTGTCTATTCTAAATCAGGGGCAGATTATATTTGAAAAATTCCAAAGCACAGTGATGAAAATATATCACTGCTGATTTACTAGCAGGAATATCTACTAACAAGAGGGTACTTCAGCATGGTTTGAATATTCACATTTTCTGTATCTTTTAATAAAACCAGTACTGATGAAGATAATAGTTCAGATTACTAAAAGCACACAAATTTTGGTCTTCTGGCTTGTGACACCATACAGTATTCTATGTAGATAACATTTCGGAGGAATTTTCATTTCATGCATCCTGTTGTGTTATAATATACAACTTCTTTATTACAACCGTCACAACACAACTAATATCCAGATCAGTGCCTAGTTTGGCTCTGCTTACATGTNGATAAAGACTTGTCAGCTGACAGGTATCGTGCGTGGACCCACCAGAAGACCACACTTTTCTTGGGCCTTTATCTCCGTAACTGTTCAACTTTGGACATAGGTGTTTTGGGTTATATCGGCATACTTAAACATAAGGAACACCCTCCCGAAGTTTGGCACATTCCTCCTGGGACACCCTGTATATGCACCACTGAACCGCAGTACTAGTAAAATTGAATACAATATTATTAATTATATAAAATACTTGACATAAAAATACAATAAATTAGATTATATAAAACAAGAATAAAATTCTTCGACTGATGTTTTACATCATCGAGTCAGTTGTTCGTTTTTGTAATTTTGTTGCGTTCCCACAGACAAATTGGAATATTCTATATTTTGTGTATTTTGTGCCAAAACTAGGCACTGATCTGGATATTAGTTGTGTTGTGATGGTTGTAATAAAGAAGTTGTATATTTCGGAGGAACATGTCATCTCCATCTTTATCAGTGAGGTGAGTGTGATGACAAGGCTGGGTTACATAGGCAAGTTGCCAGGAAAGTGACTGCCCAGATCCATGGAAGGGGGGGGGGGGACAGAGCCCAGACTGCCCACAGTCCCAGCCATTGTCGTCCTCCCTGACACAACCATTTGCTTCCATAGTTTGCCTTACTAATCAGCCATAAATGTGGAGAAATATGTTCCTTTGAAACACTGGTAACAATCCACTGGAATAGACAGGGGCCATATCCTATGTGATCTTCATAGTCAATGCTGTGAGAACCTTACATTTCACACCTTATTCTACATTTATAACTCCTGATCGTAGCAAATCTAAACTCATAGACTTGATTCCTGTTATTAATTATAAGTACCTTAATCCAATACCATGCTGTTATAGCACCGCATTATGTTACATTAATTAGGTCCAGGTTAAGCACATACAGTAGAGTGAATGGCAAGATAGTTATGTTATCAGTTTGTAAAAGATGCAGGAGAAGAGACACACGGACTCAATTTTTAATGTCTTCCTGGATGTGACAATGTGTAGTTTGGTAGATGAGTAGCAACATGTCAGAGTAACCTCATGCCTCCATCTTCAGGGTAGCCTGAAGATGGAAGGAGCTAGCTCCTCTGAAACATTAGTATATATCTGTCAGACTACACTGTATCAGATCCCAGCAGACAATATACTCTTCACATCCATCGCTGTGCGAACCTCAAACCCACAACAAACTAGCTCAGTGTCTGTACAACATACTCTGCTATTTTTCATTCATTTACACTGTTCATATTTTCGTTTTTCTGAATGCTGTCAGATGGAAGGAGGTGGCTTTCATGGCACTTGGTATCTTATTGTGGGGTGGGGATGGGGAAAGTAAAAGCATTTTTTAATTGCAAAAGCAGGTTCTTCAAGTGATTAGTGGTACTAGTAGTGACACGTCATGTAGACAAATTTTTAAAGATTACAATATTTTAACATTGCCTTCTCTGTATATATTGGAGGTGACATGCTTTATCAAAAAATACAAGGCTTTTATGGCAATAAATTCAGACATTCATAATTGTAACACACAAAGAAAATTAAATTTTCATGTACAGCACTGTAATACAGCTCTTTTTAAGAGGAGTGTGATAAATATGGGAATTAGTTTGTATAATAAGGTCCCCAATCAAATAAAACAAAGGGAAAATTTTAACTCGTTTAAAAAAGAATTAAAATTTTTTTGCTGAAACATTCCTTTTATTCTGAAGATGAATTTATGTCTTTTGATTCATCAAGTGTGTAAATGTAATATGTAGCTGATTAATTTGTTGTATTTGTGTAAAGGCAATGAAATTAATGGTAACTAGATCTAGATAATATTATTCAGATGACAAACCCCCTATATTAGGGTGGTACAGTGTACACTGTAAAGATATGCACGAGAATTAGATGTATAACTGACAATTTCCCTATCCAAATGGTTGTAATACCTGTATCCATGGAGTGTTGAATGATAATAAAAATGAAATGAAATGAAATTGGGAATACTGGTCAATTTTGTGGCATGGGAAGGATTAAAACCCAAAAGTTCAACAGTGCATTTTACAATTTTTCAGTTTTGTTTTTGCAATATCAAGGTTATATGATATTATGTTCCTGTTGAACATACAATAGGCCTTTATTATACTACAGATTTGGATATACCATGGCCTTGACCATGTTCCCTAATACGGTTACATATGTTTTATACTGTACAAATTTCCATAAAATGCTTTAGTTATACTAAAGCACTGGACTGCAATGTTCCTTCCATAGTTTGCAAGTACAGAAGGTAAGGTCCACAGTCTATTGTGAACAGGAAGTATGTTCCTGCTTTCTCTAAGCTTGGAATTATTTTGTTCAAACAGCAAAATGTAATGAGCACCTCTTTTACACGTTTGCCCATGGTCTGAAACATAACAGAGATTCCAACAAATTCATGTACATTCAGTCATTAACACTCAACAGGGCTTGTGGAGTACAAACACTAACTTCTCTCTTGTTTTTCAGAATATTTTGCTTTTAACAAGATCAGCATTTTATGCGCCTCTAATCTTCGAGTTGTGCTACTGTCAGTTGACATTTAGCACTTCTGTTGTTGAGTGGCAGACCTGGCTGAACTGATCTGTACCCCACACAACTAGTTATGCAGCTTTTTGTAATGATATAATACAGTGATGAAAATTATGACAACGGTGAATTAAACTTACTGTGTTTTATCAGAGCTGATACCCTCATGTTTCCCTTATACTACATGTCTGAAACTGTGTTACTTTCACTTTGAAACTTACATTAATTTGTGCTTTGACATGAAAATATTTGAGAATAGTTTCATTTCTATAAAAATATTATATTGTAATTCTTAACAAACAGTAAACTGCAGCTAATTGTGGAACCAGCCAATTATACAACAACAATCATAAAGCTTGAACATAATAAATAACTGGGACACTAATGGATATTAAATATTTAAAATCTCTAAAAATATGGACATCTTAAAAAGTAAAAGGCCAATAATTCAATAATATCACTGGTGGGAACAATAAGCATTCAGATCATATTCAAGGACAACCTGGAAGCAGGCATATGTGATGGATTTCCTTCCCAATTTCCATCCATAATCAATGCTGTATGTCTGTAGCTGCATCATGGGCTCAACATGGGCTCTTTTCAATGGACTCTGCATGACTCTCTCCTACTTTCTTCCCACTTCAAAAAACCATGTCATAAAACTGAAGGAACAATTTTATAATACTTTGCATGTGAGCTTCTTCAATGTGCACCGCCATGACAAAATTTCTTGAACAACCTTCTACCATAGTTATGCTTGCGGGGCCTTCCATGAGAATAAATAAAATGAACTTGAACTAATCCATACTATTTTATTCTGCACATCATATAGGACATGTCCACCTATATTATTAATAAAATACATCATTATTATTATTGTTATTATTATTAGGTTGATGAAGTATGCTGAACAAAAATAATAAAAATGAAGGCCCAGAATATTATATGTCAAAGTTGAGGCAGAATTCTTTCCCTAATATAAAATTTAAGAGTACATCTACAAAAGAAATAGAATGAATTATTAGCTCATTACGATCAAAGAACTCATATGCTTATGATGGAATTTCCACAAAGATATTGAAGATTAGTGCACCCTTTATTAGTTCCCCTTTAAATTATATTGGTAATAAAATCATAACATCGGGAAATGTCCCTACTAGATTAAAATACTCTATAGTAAGACCAGTATATAAGAAGGGAGATAAAGACATTATGGCAAACTATAGGCCAATTTCTCTGTTGGCTTCATTCTCCCAAGTGTTTGAAAGAATTATATATGATAGATTGCTACAACACACAGAAACTAATAATATTTTGGCAACTGAGCAGTTTGGCTTTAGACCAGGAGCATCAATAGACAAAGCCACCTTTAGTCTGACCGACAAATTATTAAAATCCCTAAATACTAGGATGTTGACTGGAGGTATTTTTTGTGACTTATGTAAGGCCTTTGACTGTGTTGATTATGACATCTTATTAAAGAAGCTGAAGTTTTATGGAATAAAATACGTAGCACTTAAATTGATCACATCCTATTTAGAGGGTAGATACCAGAGAGTGAGTTTAGATAGTAATAATAAAAATAGCTCAATTTGGGGATTGATAAGGCGTGGTGTCCCACAAGGCTCGATACTAGGACCATTACTTTTTTTTGCTCTATATCAATGATCTACCAGTATCAATAAATAATGGAGCAAGGATGGTCTTATTTGCCGATGATACTAGTATAATCATTAATAGTATTAATCAGAGAGAATTGGAAAATACTATAAACAAAATATATCAAAGTATAAATGAATGGTTTACTTCCAATGTTCATTCCATCAAATTCTTCACAAATAAGAATATCTAACCAATTCTAAATTGTAATCAGCAGTAAAATTGTAACTATTGTAATTTTAATCTACATATATATATCAAATTGTTAATATTCAGAATTAACTTGACTTGTCATATATCATGTACAATGATCTACAGTGACAAAATAAATCAATCAATCAATCTTTTATCTTTAAGTGTAGAAAAGACCCAATTCATGCAGTTTGTAACGAAGGCTAATACACTACTTGAATTAAATATAATGAATGGAAATAAGAAAATAACTAATACGTATAATACTAAATTCCTCGGATTAATACTGGACAATACTCATGGAAGGTCCATATAGACTTAATTTTATCTAAGCTAAGCTCAGCCTGCTATGCAATAAGAATAACAAAGCCTCTCCTGTCCCAGGAAGTAGTAAGAATGGTATACTATGCTTATTTTCATTCGATCATGACCTATGGGATTAATTTTGGGGAAATACTTGTCATAGTGACTTAATTTTTAGATTACAAAAGAAAGCTATAAGAATAATTAAGGGGATTACAAGTAGAGAGTCCTGTAGGAAACACTTTAGAGAACTAAAAATATTAACACTAAAATCACAATATATTTATTCACTCTCTTTATTTGTGATCAATAACAGACATTATTTTGAAACAAACTCTGCCATTCACAATGTTAATACTAGGGCAAAACATGATTTACATCAACCGCTATCTCAACTGACAGTTTTTCAGAAGGGGGCCTATTATGCGGGAATAAAGGTGTTTAATGGCCTACCAGCCACAATAAAGGATATATCTCAAAATGCTGAACAATTTAAATTTGTATTAAAATTTTTTTTATTTCTTCACTCATTTTATACCATGGACAAATACTTTTAACTATAAGGATTAAATGTAATATTATATTATATTTTTAAGATACAAGATTTAAATCGTAATTGCAATATGACTGAATCTGGAACCAATTTTAATGAATTGTGAATAAAATAAATGTTTTATTTTGTATCTATTAGTACTATAAGTTGTTTGTATATTATGGGACTTTGCCCTCAAAGATATTTTAGATGCCTTAAATTGTATTGATGAAATTTAAGTTAAATAGGTGACATTATCATGTGTCTTGTGTGTTTATAATTACTGTTATGGATGGTGAATTGTTATTATGTATATGAGGTTTTCTGTTATAACGTGGTTCTCTGGATGTTTTTAAACTTACATTTGTATATTTGTGCTTTCTGTATTCTCTTATGACACTGTCCTTATGGACATTTAAACTATGGACGTGTTCTATATCTGAGGCAATATCGCCAAATGTAGATCTTGTGAACAAATAAAAAATGAATGAATGAATGAATGGTCAAAATTGACAGAGTATGCAGCAAGCATGGCAGGTGGAAATATGTATGAAGTTCTATGGCAAAACTTGAATGAAAGTGACCATTTGGGTGCCTTACTATTAAATTCAACCTTTACAAAATAGAGTATATGGTTGTGAGCTGGATTTGTCTGGTTTAGGCCAGGGTCAGTGTTAATCAGTAGTTGAAATTTGGGTTCCATAAATGATGGGAACTTTCTTTCATGAGTATCTGAATAACCACAAGTTTAACAACAAGACCTCTGTTCAAGTTAGCTACTTCAGGCTTTATTGCAACAGAACCTCTGCAGCGGCGAAATTGCCATTATTTCGTCATACATTATTAATTAAACATATCTTTCTCTTTCTAATAATGCAAAATGTTCGGAGTTCTTGTGCATTATTATTAACAACTATGGTTGACGAGGGACTCAATAGTAACGGCTCTCTTTGTCACCTGGTAAGTAACCTAACCACTGTGGTCCACACTGTCATCATATAACCAACAAATATAACAGTGGGAAAACAGAAAATTTGTCTCTTCCAAACACTGCACATCCACAACCTTAAATGTTACCATTAGTCTATCTTAATGGTAAAACGTTATGAATTACCTTCTGTCATACGCTCGGGTGAAGATAAATATTTCCTGAACTCTTGACACTACGCTAACTCACCGAACTACACACACATAAAACTTGAAGACCGGAAGACCATTATAGACGATTATAGGCCGCTATAAACGCTTTCGATCTAGAGAGATCTACAGCACGTACGGTTAAAGTATTGTATAGTGTTGTGTTGTATGTTAATTGACAAGTACGAAGTTGATGTGAAACAGAAATCGACGTTTACCGATGAAATTACATCTCCATGATTTATTTCTGCACATGAACGCTTTCCTGACCTTCCTGACGTTACTTACTACGACGAATGAAATTATATGTATATGTATATCAAGCCAAAAATTCTTGTTATGATATTTCATCCAAATCATATTTGTGTTATGATATATTAATCATCTTTCGATTTAACCCAAAGAATGTCTGTAGAATCTCAAGAAACTCTGAGTGTATTGTGATGATTGTGATTGTGTTATAATTTTTGTATTGTTTCTTGCAGTATAAATGGAAACAAAACATACTGTGACCCCTGGATCCCCTGGACACAGAATGGCTGTCGTCCAATAGGTCCAATAGGCACAGAGGAATGAAATTCGTCTGCTTTCCCGCGGCTTCGGCTGTCCAGCAGTTCAACACGATGAGAACGAAGACTTGCAGTGTCCCTGGGTGCTTTTCTTCCAGCAGGCAGGGAGAAGTAACTTTCTTCAGCTTTCCAAAGGGTCTAGAACGGTATGTCTGCTTTAATTCATGGTGTAATTGCTTTATTATGTGTTGCTTAATCCAACGAAGAAATTAAGTTTCGCCGTTGTCTGCATTAAATATGTGAATGCTAACGTCATAATCAAGAGTGAATTAGGAAGTGCCTAGATGAATAAAGCTTGAGGAATGTTAGTGTGATCAGTTCTGCGGATTTTGGTTTTGTAGGAAAGAATGGTAAGAAAAATTAGGCGTTATTGTTGTGAATTAACTAGTAAACACTCTCCCAAGAAGCAAAAAGACTTAAGTATCAGAATAAGGGTTTTAGTGATATGTTACATTTCAGTATGCCATAAGGTAATATCCCTGTCCTTAACTAATGAAGCACTATGCTATGAAGGCATGTGGGGGAATGGATATATAGGTTCATGTTTTCTTGACCTCAGCATTAGTTGGAAGTGAGTGGTCAGCTTCTTGCCCTCGCTGTTTTACTCCTGGGGAAAGTCACCTTCTTGCCCTGGCTGTTTTATCCCTTGGGAAAAATTCCCCGGTGCCTGTTGGATAGGAGGGTGGGTCTCGACATGGAGATGAGAAAATTCTTGATTTTACCAAGACTCAAACTCCTGCCCTCTCATCCAGCCTGTAGCCAGCCTCTATATCATCTGTGCTACCCATGTGGCATTTGGTATGCCATTCAGTGTGTAAACACAGCAGTATCATGTGAATTATGGTTCAGCACTCACATCAGGTTGCATTGAGAAGTGTATCTTTAACACATGCCAGATATATCTGTATGAGCAAGATATTATATGTGATTAATTTTCAAGTGAGAGTTTGTGTGTCATTGGATAGCAGAACAACCTATATTGAAATTACATAATTATAGCAAATGTCAGTTACAGAATAAAATGTAAAAGTATTTCCAAGTGTATATATTGTCATTCTTTTTTAAATTCAATTTAATTTAATTTATTGATACATCACGTAATCCATACAGGTGATAACAAGTCACCATAGATATAGAAGTAGTCCATTATTAAAAATGAGTACAGTAGTAGCAGTTATAGCACACAACCTTGTCAATAAATAACACTGTGTAATCAAGGACACTATTTGTATCAATCACAACAATATATCATATAGTACACTAAAACATATGAAAACAAAAATAATATACAAAGGAATAACACAGCTGTAAATAGGTAATATAAAAAACAATTACGCTGTGTATGATCCATCATTATGCTGACCATTCAAGGTATTTTTTACTAAATACAAAAATTCCTTTAAGAAAAAGTTTTTGGTATTTTTTAACATCATATAACAGTTCCCTTATATCACGTGGTAAATGATTGCATTTGGTCAAATTTACCGATGTTATGTGTAAATAGTAGTTTGTTGTGTATTTATAGTATGTATTTCATTATTAATTACAAATTGGTGTATATTTTTTACTACCAATAACAATAAAGAAAACATATATTGTGAATAAAAGGGCAGTATATTTAGGCATCTGAAAAGTTCCTGACAAGATATTTTAGGATTCACTATATATAAGATAAACACCGTCTTAAGTGTAACAATTTTATTGTAGTTCTTTCTTCTTTCCCCTCACTCCACACTACATGTTTCGGCCCTAAATGGCCATCATCAGGTGTGTATTCTTACGTAGCTGTTACACTGCCTGTTAAAATTTAAAATCACCAGTTTTTCTAATTGTATAAACTGTTTGTTAACCTACATGCGTTAATTTTGATTTCTATTTAGCACTTTCTTTTAAAAATTTTTAATTCAAGTTAAAGTATCTATAACATTTCTGTTCTTTTCCTTTTTCAAATTTTAAAATTAAAATTTTTCTCAGGGTACATGCCCTATGTCTAAGTGCTGCAGCGGCCACTTCTTGTTTATCGTTGTTCAGGTATTGTTCTGTGTAGGCTCTCTCTGTGTGTGTCGCTGCTTATCTTTAATACATGTCTAATACGTGTTTAATACGTGACACTGGATGGAATTAATTAACCTTTTGTAAGAATCCTGAGGTACACCATATTTTATTTCCTTACATGATGAAGCAGGCGGCTTTGTATTTGTGGCCTTTTCATCTAAAAATGCTGTACTTCCACAAACTGAGTTCTGCCAGTAAGATATAAATTCATCCATGAGTGTATTTTCCCTCCAAGTCCATACAGTNAAGGAACCGACAGGCTCATAACTTGAAATTTATGATAATTTTTAAGTTGAAGAAAGCAGTCTTCTGGGATTTGGCACCGTGTATATGTGGTGTTAACTGACGTTTTGGAGGAACGTATCACCTCCATCTTCAGGGTAGAAGAAAAAATATAAGAAATCTGCAAGTGAAGAGACCGTGAGAACTGGTAAAAGCAGACTGTGTGGAAATATACACACAGATGCAGGCGATATGTTCCTCCGAAATGTCGGTTAACACCACATATACACGGTGCCAAATCCCAGAAGACTGCTTTCTTCGACTTAAAAATTATCATAAATTTCAAGTTATGAGCCTGTCGGTTCCTTCTGTTCCCATTACAATTGCTGTTGATCTGTTCATCAGATTTTAGGTCTTTCTGTATTTCTCCCGCCTTATGTACCTTCTGTATTGAGGTTTACTGAATTTTATTCACTTTTTTATTTCATGAATTTCTTTACATAATTTGTTTACATCTTCATTTGAAATTTTTGGACATACATGTATTAATTAAAAATGTTATTTGAAACACACCTCCCATTGTATCCAAATTGTCCAACCAGTTTTGTAGTCTTTGACTTTTTCATTGATAATGTAGACCCCTAATTTTTTTTATGTCATTACTTTTATTTTGGTACCAGTGTGATATTCCTGCCAAATCTCTGTTGATACCAGTTTTATTTTATCTTTTGTTAACACACCGTTTAACACTGGAAGGCAACAAGACACAGTCTGCTACTAATATTAATTCTGTGCAAGTACAACCCAGGAGATCTGTACTTCACTTGGATTGGGAATTTTCTGGCTTGATAATTGAATGTCATACTTTCTCACCTTTTAACTTTTGTTTGCACCTGTTTTCTTAATTTTTTAATAATTTTTATATTTGTAAATTAATAATTTCTATAAGTTCTCTGGACCAGTAGTCTACCTGGAACCCAAGAAATGTCACACTGAAAGAAACTTGAATGTTTTTGGTGTTATCAATTGCCTGTTCTGAAATTATAGGCACATAGTTATACATATATAATTATATACACACAGGATAATATTAAAATGGATCTCAGCAAATAAGGTGTGAAGGGAATAGAGACTAGTGGTGAACTCTTGTGAACATGGCAGTGAACTTCTGCATTAACTGAGAGCAGGTTATCAAGATGTCTGTAGTCCATACAAGTTTGAGCTGGTTTAAATGTAACTGAAATGTAAGTTCATGCATTTTTCTAAAGGTTGTTGATAATTTTATTCCTCATTCATATCAATTGTCATTTCAGTGCACAGGAATGGGTTCGTGCTGTAAGTGACCCTGACCTGGATATTGAAAAAGCGATTAAGCAGCACAAACACAGGGTTGTCTGCTGTCGTCATTTTACAACTTCCCAGTTTAACACTCCTGGAAGGGTGCGCCTCAACCGGAATGCTGTACCCACCCTGTTTTTGCCATCATCTCTTAGTACTGAAAAGGGTCTTTCAGCTTCATATCTGCAGTAAGTTTTTGCGTCATCAATGAGGTTGGTAGTCTCCATAATGATTTGCATGATTCTGTGAGCCTTGTGTTGCTCACTGAGAATTTGCTAGCAGTACATTAGTTTATATGAGTAGGCTGAAAATTATTCATCCATTCTTGTAGGTTACTGAATTAAATTGAGTTCCCTTTATATCCTTTGTTAATCCCATTTCCCAGTAGTGGGCTTGAAAAAAGGGTGTTAAAGCAGAAAAATTGTAACAGTTTATAGATAGTTTTTATAACTTCAATGGGGAAAAGATTGCTGTAAACTTCTATTTATTCTGCCATCACAATATGCCTTTTATAAAATTAATGCATGACCACTGTTTTTTTATCACTGTACATAGTTATCAGATTTAGTGTTTGCATTTTGAATGAGGCTGACATTGAAATTTTTTTTCTCATTGTGTTTTGTGGCTGAATATCTTTAGATCTTAAGCAAGCCTCATGAATACATGCCTAGTTGGTAAGGCATTTTACCAAATGTACAAGAATCAATTTCCTTTTCCTATTTTGCCCTCTCACTTTATAATCTGAGGGTAGGTGGAATAGCATTTTTCATGTAATGTGATGTTAAATTTATCAGGAATGGATGTGAAGTTGCCTGAGTTTGAATCTATGAATTTTATCTGTGGGAGTGTGTTTGAATCTCAGAAAGCACCATTCTTAGCATCTGTTGTATGTTGGGTAAATAAAGTGGCTTTACCGATAAATTTGTTTGAGCATAGGCAGAACCTCCAGTTAGAACTGTGCAGTAGTGTATCACTTTTTTGGCAGAAAGATGCTGCCCACTAGCTGGTGTCCTGCACTGTAAACCAGCAGTATTAAGACCACAAAGAAAGGAATGGTCCTGTCTATATTTGCCATTGTATGAAAGCTAATTAAAGTTTAGTTCTATTAAATGTTGAATATGGATTGAGACATTTCATTAATGAACTGTCCTGTACACTGCTTTTGATTGTATGAGGGGGTACCCAAAAGAAACCGAACTTATTTTTTTTTAAACTTATTTATTCAAATTTTAAGCACAAACCTCTTCAATCCCCTTCAAAGTACTCTCCACTTACACTAATACACTTGTCTAGTCTCTTATTCCATTTTTCAAAACATTGTCTAAATTCATCTTTTGAGATGCTTGACAGCGCCTCCGTCGTTTTTTCCTTTCATGTCTCTTTTCATTCAAGGAAACAAAAAAAAGTTGCATGGGGCAAGGTCAGGTGAGTATGGAGGGTGAGGAACAGGGGTCCTACCATTTTTGGTCAAGAATTGTTGTACAGACAGGGCTGTGTGAGCAGGGGCATTGTCATGATGGAAAAACCAGTCACCCGACTGCCACAAATCTGGCCGCTGGGCTCCAAGTCACTCCCGACAGCTCCACAGTTTCTTCAATGATCTGTCGTCAATCTTCCTTGATGATTTCACGAATTATTTCAACATTTTCATGTGTTCGGGCCGTGGAAGGACAACCAGAATGAGGTTTGTCATCAATTGACATTTCACCATTTTTGAAACGGGAAAACCACTCAAACACTTGAGTTTTCCCCATAGCATCGTCCTTGTACGCCGTTTTTAACATTTCAAGAGTTTCTGTTCCACTTTTCCCGAGCAAAAAGCAGAATTTCACCGCCGCACGCTGTTCACGAAAATCAGCCATTGCAAAAACGATGATCACACAAAACAGTTGTCACTATAAACTCTGCCGAAACTAGTCCTTACCTTCTGAAGCAACGGTAGTCGGCTTATCGACTCAGGAATGTTAGCTCTATGCGCTCATAGCGGCAAAACGCGGTACTACAAAAGCTCTGCCCACAAAAAAATTAGTTCGGTTTCTTTTGGGTACCCCATCATATGCAATTGTTGTAATTATGGTCTCACAGAATGTATGATGTTTTCTCATTGCAGGTACAGGAGCAACCATAAGATTGCAGAGCCAGGCATCCAGGATGAACATGAGTGTATAGAGGCTGATGTGAAACAAGAGACAGGTATTGATATGTATAAAATTAGAAGACAGATTAAAAGGTTACATGTAATTTAATGAAAGAGTTGATTTGGGACGACTACAGTTACATTAGATTTCAGTGGCTGAAATGTGTAATACCTGTTGTTAGTGCCATACGAGTGATAGTATTTATTAGAAGTGGTATGTTGTATATGCTGTATTAATTTGACTGTGACCTGACCTCCCCTTGTAGTGGAAAATGTCAAAGAAAAAACACTTGTTTAAATTAAATTCTCATATACTGTGCTGCTGATCGTAATATCGTGATGTTGCAAAATAATTACATAGACTCTCAGTTAACCAGAAGCAAATTACCTGGGTTGTAGATTATCCACAGCATTTGTCCAGTGATTGAGGCTAGCTCTTTCTAACGGACCCAACAGAATAGGTGTTTTCCTTCACCTGAGGACGGAAACAGATCCAGTTTCCTTAACGTCGTGTTTTTATTAGTTATCTTAAAAACCAGGACGATGGATAAAGTCCAAAAACCTAATATATCAGTAGCATTTGTTTAGTTAATTGACTGATGTGATCAGTATTAAAGGACAAACTTCATGTGAAATTTCTTTTTGAAATGGAACAAATACAAAGCAAAGGGAGTTTTATTTTATGTTTGAATATGTACTTGGAAAGCTGAGAAGGTTTCTCTTCAGGGATATAACACCAGATAGCCCTTTGAAATTAAACCATTGTTTCAGCTGTTGCTTGTGTCATGCTGGTTTCTTGCTTTGCCTACTCTTCAACCCTGAAGCTGGAGGCAAATGTTCATCTGAAACATTGATTGACATTCAGTGGACTACACAGTGTTATATTCCGGAGGCATGCATTTTGCAAATAATATTCAAGAAATGATAACTGTCACCTAGTTCAGAACATTCTATCTTTCTGCGTCATACCTAAAAAGCTAATGATTCATGAAATGTTAATTATACCTGATGTCCTCTGTGAGTATGTGTGAATTAGTCTCTGGCTCAGCCTAGCCTGCATTGTTTCAGTTTCTATGAGAATTGAAGTACAGAGTTGAATGCTTTGGTCTAAGGAGGAGAATGGAACAAAATTATGCAGTTGGAAGCTTAATAGCTCATGTCCTTCACATGGTATTGCTAGGGTGATTAAATCAATGAGGATATGGTGGGTAGTACATGTAGAATGTGCCGGGTGAGGGAAAATTTTGGAAATGGAGAAGATGGAGGGATAATATGAAAATGGATTTCATGAACTAACCTGGGAGAAGTGCATGGATTCATCTGTCTCAGGCTGGGGTCTGATAGTGGACCCGTGTGTAGAGAATAATGAACCTTTGTGTTCCATAATAGCAAGCAATGTCTTAATTAACTGAGTAACTATCAGCTTTTTGGGTAATGGGTGCACCATGTTGTTAGTGAATGCAGTGATGCAAGATACTCACCCTACACATAGTTGGACCCTTGGCACAATTGACAGGCCAATAGCCTATTCTTATAAAACATCTTGAATACTGCCCCAGTAAATCTTTGAAGAGCTATGATGAAGGTAGCTTTTATGGTATATGCTTGTCAGCCATAATCCCAAGTCCATGATACTGTACTAAACAGTTGCATTACTGCTGGTGTCAAAATACTGTCATGTGTAGGGGGTACACATGACAAAATGACGGGTTCTAGTTTGGATGATTGGATTTATTAACAGCTTGGTTACATGTACTCTCTTAATTACAATCAACAGTTCCTGCATAGAGCAAATACGCCACAGTACCATGTAAGGATGTTACATTTCCAAATAGAGAAAACTATTCTTAGAAGCATATCGAAACTTAGGCGGATGGGGCTGATGATGTACTGAAAGCTGAATCATGGCAAAAACATTATGAATCATTCTCTTTCAGAATCTCTCATATGCCTTGCAGAAGGGCCGGGGTTTAAAGTTCCATTTTCAGGTTTGACCTGCTTCTAGAAAGGAACATATATATTTCAGTAGGTACATTTTACAGAGATGAAAAAAAGAAGCGTGTAGAACAACAGTGATCATTTCCAACATTAATGATGTTGATGGATTTTGTTGAGTTTGTGGCCCGTGGGTTTGTTGATTGCACACTGTGGGTCTGATCGCACATAGTAAGTGTCAGTGTTTGTGTCTCTTTTGTTGGAATGGCCTGATGATTTTCAGTGGGATGTCAAATTATTTCCCTGTACTTTTCTTATATGCAGGTAGCCTTGAAGAGGCTGGAAGTCAGTTTCTTCCTCCTCTAGACAGTTGGATGCATGGGTATGAACGTGATCTACAGCCCCTGCAGAATGATCAGGAGAGAGTGGAAATGCCAGTACAGGAAGATACTCAATTGAGAGAAGATATTTTGGCCGAAAATGATACAACACAACAGCACAATTCAGATGGAACCCAAGCTGACCATCAGAATCACTGTGGAGAACCAGTGACACTTGATGACACTGCTGTGAATGTGAGAGAGATATCTGAAACTTGTGATGCCACATCTGATCATGGGGACACTGATGAATGCTGTGATGTAAAGTTTATTCCAAATGAGCCTAGTACAGTAGCATTAGGTACGTGGGAAAACTTACCAAATCAACTGTGCCGGCTGTGTGCGTCTACAGATGAACATCCAAAGCAGTCAGTTGTTGGCTGGCTGGATTTGCTGAAAGAAATAATTCCAGATTTGGTGAGTTTTCTATATCTGGTTGCGTATCAGTGTTACTCTGCATGTTTGCATAAATGTGTGCAGTGAATGCTTTATGTATTATGGCAATCAGTACCTTTGCTTGGTTATGTTATTTTCCACTGAGATCACAAAGTTGATTTAATATTAAATATGTGATAACTTTTGGAACGTACCTGCGTTCAGTGGGAACATTTTTCCAGCCAGTTTTTATTGTTAATGCATGGTAAGATCAGTGTCTTTAGGGCAGAAGGAAATATCTTGACGTACATAACTTGTATGTAGAGAGAGAATGTGCAGTGATGTTAGACTGCCCTGTCAGTCTGACTGTGAGAGCCTATCAGTATCCATTTATCACACCAGAAGTTTTCAAATGTTAGGATGACTGATGAATAGCAAATTGAAAAGGACTTGGAACAAGTTTTCATGGCTTAGTTGATGTATATTCCTGGATGGACTGAGGAAAACCATGAAGTACCTCGGTCAGGATAGTCCATGTCCTAGCTGAGATTTGAACTGATCATCTTTCAGATGCAATCCTAGAACATTACTGCTACTCACATCCACTTGATAGATGATATGAAAGTTTCAGAACAGTATGAAGTTAAATTCTGAAACAGGTTTTCCCTATTGGAAGACTTACTTGATGTTTTCAGTATGAGTAGGGCTTGGGGAAATACTGGATATATCAAAACTTTATCAAGAGATAGGCTAGGCTATTATGACTTAAAACTGATTATACGTAGGCCGTACCAAAAGTCATGAGCAACTTTTTTTTTGCATGCAACCTGGGAACAGCAGACGAAAGAGAGTAAGGTGGTAGGTGGAACCAGCTGTTGTGTTAACCTTGAGTGTCTTGTGACGTCAGTAGTGTGCATCACGTGACCAGTATCACTCCTAACAAAATGGCCGACAACGATATGTCATTTCGCCAGGATGCTGTGAAAGAGGAAATCCCTGCTGCAGAAATTCACCAGAGATTTCAGCGTGCTTATGGTAGTGTGTGTGTGGGTGCGAGCAGTGTTCAAAGATGGGTGAAACATTTTGAAGATGGGAACACCAGCATCCAAGATGAGCCTCGGAGCGGTCGTCCTCGAACAGCCTCAACTGAACGCAACAAGGAAAGAGTGGATGAGATCATTCAAGATGACACGTGTGTGACTGTGGACACAATAGCCTGAAAACTTGGAATAGGGCACAGTGCAGTACAGGAGATGATTGAAAGCTTGGGCTATAGGAAAGTTTGTGCTCGTTGGGTGCCGCGGTTATTGACCGAAGACCACAAAGGTCAGCGAAAAGCCATCACCTCAGAACTGCTGTAGAGATATCGACACGAAGGCGATGATTTTTTGCTCTGTATTGTGACAGGTAATGAAAGCTGGTTTCACCATTTTGAGCCTGAAATGAAACAGCAGAGTATGGAATGGCACCAGTTGCATTCTCCACCAAAAAAGAAAACAAAGACAGTGCCATCAGCTGCGAAAGTGATGGGCACAATCTTCTGGGATTCAGAGGGGTTTATTCTGGCCGAATTCCTGGAACCTGGGCAAACCATCAATGCTGCTCATTATGTCCAGACGCTGCACAAGCTCAGTCGCGCATTGTGCGATAAACGTCCGGGACCAACATCATCATCCTGCATGACAACGCTCGCCCCCACGCCGCTTGCCTCACATTGGAAGCAATTGCAAAGATGGGGTAGGAAGTTCTTCCACACCCATCCTATAGCCCTGATCTGGCACCCTCCGACTACCATCTTTTTGGATTTGTGAAGTATAAGCTGCGTGGACAATGTTTTGTGACAAGGGAGGCAATTCAGAAAGCAGTGCGTCAGTGTTTTCGGATGGCTGGAACGGAATTTTACAGAAGGGGAATTTTCAAACTCCAAGAACGCTGGGAGAAATGTGTACAAAGAAGTGGAGATTGTGTGGAAAAACAAAGAAAGGTCTGTATATTGAGGTGGTGTATTTGGTTTGTCAATAATAAAGCATGTTACTTTACAAAAAATTGTTGCTCATGACTTTCAGTACGACCCTTGTAGCTGGAAAACATAGACTGCGTCATAACTGGAATCATTGGACAAGCGGTTCTTACATACTCGTGTGCTTTCTGAGATACATGAACCTCCCATGTGTAGTTTCTTTGGGGATTACTGGATTTGTACGCTAAATTGAGTAACTGTATCACTGAAATTATTGACTTTGTATCATTGAAATTAAATGTTACCTAAGGGAAGAGGAATTAACTGAAGAATATTAAATAGGAATTCCACTGCAGTAAGTCATATTTGTTCCTTGTAATTGTATAATTATTATTATAACTTTTTATAGGTGGCCCTGGATGATGGACTTCCTCAACATATATGCCAGCCTTGCGCAAACAAGCTATATACTTGTACTAAGATAAAAGCGGATTTTATTGAAGCATATAACAAGCTACAAGAAAGCTGTGGATATTCAAGGTCACCAGGAATTCAGTTCATAGATATTCCATCAGCCATGTCTTGTTACCCTAAAGAGCAGTTAGTATCTGAGATTGAAGACCAGTTAGTTTCGGAAATTGAAGAGCAGATGGTGCCTGAGGTTGAAGAACAGTTAGTTTCTGAGGTCCCTTCTGAAGGCCTTTGTAGACTTACACCAAACTCTAAAAAGGATTTTCTTGAAGGAAAGAAGATGACCTTAAATACTGGTGGTGATTTGTCTTTAAATCTTGAAGAATGTGCTATTTCAGCCACTCATGATGAAGCAACCCTCCAAGGAAATTTTCTCCAAAGTAAATTGGAAAGTGTTGGTGACACCTCAGGTGCATGTGAAATGAAGGAACAGAAGGTAGGAAAATATAAGTATGTATGTGATGAGTGTGAGGAAATGTTCACAACAAAGGGAGCTCTAAAAGTACATAGACTTGCCCATCGTAAAGTTTTTGAATGTGAATGTTGTGGGAAACAATGTAGGTCTGCAGCGCAGATAGATGACCACAGACGTATTCACACCAAGGAGTTACCATTCATGTGCGAGTTGTGTGGAAAATGTTTCCGAACCACAGAGCAGTTACGCAACCATAAATATGTTCATAAACCACTGATTTATGCTTGTGAAGTATGTAATAAGAAATGTAGTAGTACGACTTTCTTAAGGCAGCACAAGAAGGTGCATTGTACAGACACAAAGCTGATATGTGAAGTGTGTGGGAAAATACTGTGTACTCCCTTTAGTTTTCGGATTCACTTACGAAGTCATACTGGTGAAAAACCTTTTCAGTGTGATGTCTGTGGAAAGTGTTTTAGTGCTGCTAGCAAATTGAAGAAACATAGGTTTGTTCACACAAATAGAAAATTCCGAAGCATTGCTTGTAGTAAGGAATTCAGTTTCAAACATTCATTATTACAACATGAGGAATGTCATGCTAAGCTGAAGTATTATAGATGTGTGATCTGTTTTAGACCATATTCTAACTTACAAAACATGAGAAGACATCGTAAGTTATATTGTAAACACATTATTTGTATTGTCTGCAATGAGACCTTTCTGACTGATGAGATGTTAAAAGAACATCGGTCAAAGGAACACACTGAGGAAGAGGTAATGTTGGCAGCAAAAAGTTATAAAAGACAGCAGTGTCATAAATGTCCACTTTGTGGCCTGGGTGTAACTGGACTAAATAACATGTTGAAGCACACGAAGGAGTGTCACAGTGGTTACAATTATAAACCATTTGGTTGTGAAGAATGTTCCAAAACATTTACTTCTATAAGTGCCTTGCATATACATGTGAGATGTCATAGGGAAAACAGTTTAATTGCGTGACTTGTGATAAGGGGCTTAAAACAAAGAAAACACCCAAGTGGGATGATCACTCCATAAAAATCATCAGAAGACTCTCCGACTTGATTGTGCATAAGAGGAAACAACCTGGGAAAGACCATTCTTTTGCCCAATATGTATGCAGAAATTTTCCATGAAAAGTGACATGTTAATACATGCAAAGGAACATTTGCAAATTAGTTCAAATGTAGCACTGAAGTAAGTGGTTGAGGGAACTATGCATGTGCGTGAAACTGTATTTTCTTCCCAGGACTTGTCATGTGATATAAATGTGAGGGAATGTATTGATTCATTATACAAATAGGTCTACTTGAGCAGAAAAATATGTGAGCACAAGTCGTGCCAATTGCAGTCAGGAGGCCACCAAACAGATGTGTAGGAGACAACATATTTTGTATACTTGTAGTCAACGAAATCTAGGAGTCCATTACATGTTTCTGATGGAAAGCCATTTCAATGCTTGTGATGACCTTGTGTGTAGGAACAATATTAGGGGTTAAACAGACTTGAGTTGTCTGGGCAGAATTCAATATCATATTCTGAATAAAGCTCAATGTATTGGGTGGTATATGATGTATTATGCCCTTGCAGAACAGGATGTTGATTGGGCAGATCTTCCATTGTTGCTGTTTTGTATTTAAAATGAGAATGACATTGGTTCCCTTTGTGAAAGTATGTGATTATTATACATTCAACACAATGGATGATCTGGGTGCTTTCTGATTTTACATTTTAGTTTACATATTCAAGTCCTCTTGTTTTCCGTAACGCTATCATATCTATAATTCTGTAATTATTCTGATCTCCCTGCTTATACGTGATACAGTCATTAAGTTCGTGGACTGTGGTTTTATCAGGTCTTATTACAGGCTATTCACATACATTTACACCAGATACACATCAGCCCTCAAAATACTTGCCACTGGAGGCTATGCAAGTCTGCCAAATTTGATATAGCTGCTGAAAACATTGCTGTAACATATTAGCAGGAAATTCCCATACGGCGTCTCTTGTGGCATTGACGACCACCTTGGAAGACTTAAATCTCTGACCACATAGCTTTGCTTTGAAGTGGTGAAAGAGAAAGAAATCGCATGGTGCAAGATCAGGTGAGGACGGAGGGTGTGGCAAGATGGTGACCTGTTGCCTTGTCAGTTCCTCTTGGCCAAGAACAGAGCAATGTGCAGGGGCGTTGTCGTGTCACAACAGCCAGTTCTTCATACACCAAATGTTTCGCTAGGGGTTTGCCTAGTTTTTGGCAGAACTTAATGTTCGCCCATTGTTCAAAGTGCCACATTTTTTATTTCCGCCACTTGCATTTAACTGCAGTTTGCAATAGAGGGCGTAGTTCTGCTTGCACTGTTTTCACAGAACTGCCTCTTGCTGTGATGAGAGATGAACTGACAGGGCATCATATCATACCTCAACCTGTCCATTGTAATGTACTGCAATGACGCTTTGCAGCCAGTCCATGAACTTTTTGACTATGGTAGTATTTAATTCAGCTTAGGGTACTCAAATGTGGCAAGGGAATGCTGCTAGTACTTCAGTGTGGAGGATACATTTTGCTGAGTGTATTTGTTTGCAGAACTGGAGCTCTACCGTTTAGCTCTTGCCTATCCAGCAAGTAATCTCTGGTGACCTTTTAAAAAACAAGCAATGAGGGAAAAATTATATACAAAAAAATATGTACATACTTAAGCTACTTCTCAACAGTCACCCACAGAACTGAGGCACTTGTCATATCGGGGAATAAGTTTTTGTATGCCTGTGTCAAGGTGTCAAAGTAGTCTGCTGCTGAGCTCAGCCACCTTTTTGACACCTTCCATCAACTCATTATTGTAGTGCTTTGATTGCAGCCAGTTATTAAGGTATGTAAACGGGTGGTGGCCGCTCGGAGCAAGTTCAGGGCTGTCAGGAGGCTTGTCAAAAACTCCCAGTTGAAATGCTCCAGCACTGCTCGAATGCAGGCGCGCTTTGTTATGACAAGTGCTAACAATACATATCAAAATATTTTAAGCTGGCAGCAAGGTATGATGGCGGTCGCTCACACTACATCTTTTCCAAGTTTTGTGCAAAGCAATTTGCTAGTTAAAAATACTTTTAATCAGAGTCTCTCACTTCATGTGACATGTTCAGTAGACATTTGATTAGCGTTCTAACACGACAGAAAGACACATTAAAACATTTAGCTTCAAATTCAATCATATATTGCTTAATTCTCAACGCGAAAATGAGGACGAACATGAAATAGTATTGACGAGTTCACAGCGTTCATAAAAATTAGTAATAATTAGTAGATTTCCATGACATGTTACATCTTTAGGTCATATTTTTTAAACCTTTAAGCAATTTTTATGGATTTTTTTTCGATAATGTTATAGGGCGTTTAACAGTTATTTTATGTGATCAAAATCCTGGCCCCTTTAATAACAATCTCTTGCACACGCTCAGTCTGCAAATGCTCAAAGGCGTAGTGATACGGTGTGTCGCAAACGTACGTGAATATAGTTTCTCTGCTATACACAATCAATGACCGCGCTCGATTTGGGAAGATAGTAGCAGTCTTTTGCGTTTGCGTCTTTTGTGCTCAGTTAATAACAGATTGTAAGGAAGCGGGAATTCTGTTATACGTAACAAGCCACAGAATCGCCCAGGGATCAGGATCTAGCGATAAATACTTCGCACGGGTAAGTGTACACCTATGAATGAAGTGATGTTCTTGCAATCGAAATACTATTACTTATCTCGCTTTAGTAGTTCATCTGTGATAATAGTATATCAAAGCGGGACGAAGTTTGAGCAGTAGTAGTTCAGATGTCCAGATTATTATCTACTTGTTGATTTCGACAGACGCGTGCGTGTAGATGGGGAAATGAATTTCGGTGTTTTCTAACTTTTGTGTTGATTGAAGTAGCGCCTCGAAGACGTATGGGAGAGTTGTATTGTTCAGTGTATCCTTAACCTCTCTACCGCTCTCTACTGCTTGGAGGTGAGTAGTGACCGTAAAGACAGTCATAATGGCTCAGCCAGTGTAATGTTGGCTGATACTGTGCAATGAATTTGGAGTGGAAGGAAGCAATCATGCACTAATCGCAGGTGCAGTTCTGTCATTTGTCAGGAGGAACTGAAGAAACTCGCGATCTTGGGGTAGCTGGTCCCAGCACCGAGATTTGAACCCAGGACTTGCCCAATATGAGCCAAGTATGCTACCCACTCGACGATTACGTTTGGTGTTATTGTACAGTACCAGTAATTCTCTCAAAATTGTGAACTTTTTGGAAAAGTTAAATAAGATAACTATATGTTTATTCCAATATTCGTTCAAGACATTGTGTCTCAAAGGTTATGTTCCCTCCAAAACATATTCAGGCCCTGAAGTAATATAGTCCATAAAGTGAGTTGATTGAAAGTTACATATGATGTAACTGATTGCATGGAGCTAAGTTTTTTGTGTGGGGAGGGGGAAGTCACCAGTTTTTCATCTACTCAAGAATATCTCCCCAGGAGTCTGCCACCGGTCCATATCTTTTTCCAGATTAATCCAGTCTATGCCATCCCATCTATTTTCTCTATTCATTCATATATATTCATATTTATTTCAAGTTCAGTTGATCCATACATGA